AATGTAGTTACTGAACCACGGAATCTCCCACGAGCTAATGAACCGGGTGGAGGCGGTAAACAAAGAGCATTACCGGCGGTTCCGAGAACAGCGATTCAAAGAATTCGCGTCCAAAACCCTAGATTCGGTGGAGAAGGTCGACCCGGATAATCTGGATTGGGAGAGCACCTTCTTCCTCCGCCATCTCCCCACCTCCAACATCTCCCAAATCCCCGATCTGGATGACGATTGCCGGGCAACCATGAAGGAATTCGCGCGGGAGCTGGAGAAGCTCGCGGAGAGACTGCTGGATCTGTTGTGCGAAGATTTGGGGCTGGAGAAAGGGTATTTGAAGAGGGTTTTTTGCGGGGGATCGGATGGGTTGCCGACGTTCGGGACGAAGGTGAGTAATTATCCGCCATGTCCGAAGCCAGATTTGATAAAGGGATTGAGAGCTCATACGGATGCGGGAGGGATTATACTGTTGTTTCAGGATGATAAGGTTAGCGGGCTTCAGTTGCTCAAGGATGGGGAATGGATTGATGTTCCTCCGCTGCGCTATTCCATTGTTGTCAATATTGGAGATCAGCTGGAGGTGATAACGAATGGAAAATACAAGAGTGTGTTGCATAGGGTGGTGGCCCAAACCGATGGAAACCGCATGTCGATCGCATCGTTCTACAACCCTGGCAGCGACGCCGTGATCTTTCCGGCGCCGGCGCTGGTGGAGAAAGAGGCGGAGGAGGAGGAGAAGAAAGAAATTTATCCAAAGTTTGTGTTCCAGGATTACATGAATCTATACATTCGCAAGAAATTTGAGGCGAAGGAGCCAAGATTTGAGGCGATGAAGAGTATGGAGATTGTTATGAGCTCTCAGCCTATACCCACTGCTTGATTGATTCATTGGCTATTGTTTGTGAAGAATTTAGGGGATAGGGTTTAATTTATGTGTTGGTGGTTTGTTTGAGTCTAGTGGTTTGATGTGAAGACTTATGTGAATTGTTTGGGGTCTTATAATTTATATATTTATATGTGTAGTTGTTCTGTATGGATAGTTGGCTATTAAATTTGTTCCTTGGGGTTTGGGTGTAATGAAGTGTGAGTTAATCTAGTCTTTCTTGTTCATCCCTTGAATATTTATTAGCCACTAAATTTATTATTTAATATTTGTTTGAATCATATAATCATGATCTGATTGACACGTTTGGTTTAATTTTTAAAGCCTTATTTTTTGTGAGGTGAAAGGGCTTTTTGGCTTATTAAAACTTTTTTTTTTTT